ACAGGTTTGGACACAGTTTTGACAAAATAATAATCGATTAATTTTATATGACAACAGTTGAGTTTATAGGATTGAGCCTGGTGATAAGTTGTTTTTAATTTCCCAAACGAAACAAGTTATGTTAACTCATCGTTAACCTAGTGCTCGCTAATCTCATGGTATTTGCGTTGGGTACTTTATCATACGTATTGGTTTACGGTATATGTACACTGGTAGGTCGATCGGCAGCACAATAATGACCGACACGCTGAGTGGTCGCGGTGTATAATGTCGGCAATTTAATACCAGAACAAACCGAACTTAATACAGTAATGAACTCGGTTGCTTTCCCACCAAGGCCAACTTGGTGTACGTACTATTTTAATTATGTCTATTCCGTTTTTGGATACATTATAGTGTACATTTTGAGATGTTTCTTATAGTAAAGCTATCAACTGATGTGAAGTCGTGACATCAAATATGTCGCCGAACACATTGTACGATTTCAAAAAGTTATGAAAGTTACTGGCGCTCGTTCTAAACATGACTAGATGTTGCGCAGACGACAGTCGATTGACCTTTAACATTTGAAACATCAAAACTCTTTGTACCTGTCAAATAATAAAATTCGCAAGATTATCTCCACAATTGTGATATTTTTTTATAAAAATAAAAAATATGTACATATTTCCAAAATTAGAAATAGAAAAATACATGGCTTACGTGCGTACATTTTTCTAACTTTTGGGATGTTTGTAATTTGTCGGAGTTGCTAGTATCAATTTGTATTTTTGCAAAATATTGACTTTTAAAAACAAATAGATCGTGAATGTTCTATGGTTTATCAGAACGAGGTTGTATTGGCCTCCGTCCAAAATTACGCAATTATATTTACACCTTTGTTATTTTCACCGACACACCATCGACCTCACAGGTTTCATTACACTTTAACCCTCCCGTAGAAACGAAATTACTGTCTCACATTTGTTTACTTTGTGGGATGTGCCGTCGGTTCTCACAGGCTTGAACACCTTTACGAGACAATAACCCATGATTGACCCATACGTAACAATGGCGTACAGTGTTACCAGTATTTGTAACTAGCATCCCTGGTAGTATCGCATCAAAATTAAACAATATATATGACACCTTGCTTTCATCGCTCCAAGCACGTTGCAGCTTGCTTTGTGTGTTCAATGTAGTAGCTACTCGTAACACAACGCAGTACAATCCGACTTACATAGAACACAACATATTTTGTATTGTGGAACAGATGAAGTCGTCAATCCCATATGATATGATATGATATGATATGATATGATATGATATGATATGATATGATATGATATGATATGATATGATATGATATGATATGATATGATATGTTCAAACAATTAGGGTAATCAACCACACTGTTGGCATGAATAATGTTTACATCATGTTTTCACAGAATTTGGGTGTGATCACCGGCACACTTTCATGCCGTGTTTGAGATATCCGGCTCAGCTGAGCATGGGCCAAGGACGTACACACAACCACACCTAGTTACCAGCACGTGTCGATGAGATAAGTATACAATTACGTCTCTTTCAGTCAACAGGTGATTCAAATAGCAAGGTATGTTGGTAATGTTCCCAAATTTAGTAAATCAACATAAGACTTGAGTTATCGACAACGCCTTCTTATAGCAAGATGTTTTGAATTCCGAAGGAGGCCGGGCCCGTATTTTGTTTGCCATCACGTTAATCGAGTCATATGCGATTTCTATATAGTTTGAAATTTTTAAATAATAATTACATCAACCAAATAATAATAATAATAATAATAATAATAATAATAATAATAATAATAATAATAATAATAATAATAATAATAATAATAATAATCAATAAATGTTGCCTAAATAAGATTTTAAATGTCATTAAAAATACAAAAATGGCATTTTGCACAGTTTTCTATGGTGCAATAATTTTCAAACACCTCTCAACATTTTGCTTGATGAAATAGGATGAAAAGTATTTCTCAATTAAAGTTTTTCAAAAACATGACATTTAATTCAGTGTGTTTCCAGTGTAATATTATCAATAATAGTATTATTACATTGTATGCAACGGGAAATTCTTTCCCACAATGCATTGCACATGTGCCAAGTTATACAATACGCGAATTCGGCTGCGTTATTAATTCAAAAGATATACTTCCGGAAAGATATATTCTTACATTATCTATCAATAAGGGAATGTCTATCTAGGACTCGGATGTGATCAAACTAAAAACGCCGTGCAATGTGTGGCTCGTTGAATGAGAGTATAACTTGCGTTGGTCCGATCGTTTGGGTTATTTTGGTACGCTATTAATACTTTAAAATCTGACGAAAAACAAAATAATGACATAGGCAAAACCATCCAATTCATTTATCGTAAATATATCCGATCATTCGGTACAAAAAAAAAACGGGAAAAAAACTGAAGAATAAACAATACTAGTATATCAACACCAAAACTGTGCGTGTCGGTAAATCCACGGTACAGGAACCGTGCGTACATACCCGAGCCATTTATAACTACGTTACGGTCGTGGCACTTCTCTACTTGTGAACGTGACGAGTGAACATTGGCGCACTTGTTAATGAATGTCTAACACTCGTTCAGATTCTTACTGGTTCAGTCGTGTTATTCATGGGAACCACCTATAGCAAGAATGCGAGGTTATACATGATAATAGCCGACTTATGAATGGCCCCTTTTGATGGCTACGACTACTACGATGGCGTCGTCCATTGTTATGCTAAGTCGATACTAAGTTCTTAGCCTCGCCCGTACAATAGAAACAATGTCAGCGTATTTGCAGGTTGGGAGGCTTTTATAGTACACTTTCACTGGTTCGACTCGTGGTTTCCCCACCGGTGTACCCCGATAGACGTATGTTCAACGATAATCCAAATATATGTCTGATGATTCGTAGGAGAATTAAGGAGAAACTATACTTCTAACATAATGTTTATGGATGCCCCCGACGCGAGAATCTGTTCATAAAATCACAGGTTTAACAATCATATACGATATCTTACACTAAACCACTCTTTCCAGACAAAAAATAATATATAATTTATAACATTTTTGTTTATTGCTGTTATTACAATTCAAGTTTCACCGAAAAACAATAATAATTATTCTGGCTACGGAATGTATTCGGGGTGTGACTTGATCAGTTGCGAATGACGTCCCCGTTCACCTGAATTTGCATATGTATGAAGGTCATAAACGAAAGAAGTTGGTGAAGCGTGACTGTAACATAAAGGAGACTTGGGCGTAGCTACAATCTTTCGTCAATACCTACTGGCAAAGCAACAGTACTGTTAAGGACAGTTCTAGGTATCCAGCGCCTATATTTAC